CATGACAACATTTACTCTGTACCTTTGTATCATATCTTCCACATCAGGTGCTGGCCTTGCTTCATAATTCCCTTCTTTGTGAATGTCTGCAAGGATGTGCAACATTCCTGCCCACAATGCAACAACGTCCTGCACACCCACAAACTCAGGTGAAAGATAATGTTGAATCCGGCAGCGACATTAAATGTATGCAAGATGTCTATTAAGGTCACATGTACTGAGTTTCCCTCATATCTTATATAATATATCTTATATCATATATTTCCTAATTGAAATGTGACATTACCTTTTGCTAACTGGTGATGCATTGCTAACAGTTTTAATTTAAGACTAATCCTAAATCGAAAAAATTGTTTGTTTTTCTAATATTTTGATTATTTTGAGATTCATGAAAATATATACCACATATATCAATTTGAAATTTAAAATGTGTTATAATAAAATTTTATATATTTAATTGATTTGTTTTGAGATGGGATTTTGTTAGCCTCATTTTTTACTATGAATAGAAATAAAAAAGATCAGCCTAATAGAAAATTTGATTCAAGTTGTATATGATAATAATTAATAAATAAAATTGATTTCTAAAAAATATGAAATGTTTGAATGAATTTTTGTTCATTTCATCACTGGAAGCCATGTTTGCATTGCATTGCTGGGTTACCAAACTACAAAATCCAACAAATATTTCCTTAGTATATAATATTGTTGATCGTGAACCATATTACAGACTTTCTTTAAGCAAAAGAAGTGACATGGTGCAATAACTAAAATCTTGATACAGCTCAAGGTGCCAACATTTATTTGGCTCTGAATAGGTAGAATACATTTTTGTTCATTTAGTTTGTTTCTTTAGAGTAGCTGTGTAGTAAAATAATCTGCATCTCATTTGTAGGGTTTAGCAGCCAGAGAAATTAGAGTTTGGTGAATCAGTAAGAAACTTTCATCATTGGAACTTGGCTGACTGGAAAAAGATGGCCTCCCTCTTATTAAACTAATTCTCCACTAAATTTGGGTACTCAGGTCTTACAGTTCAAGCCTACACTGTTCACCCAGAACTAGAACTAAAAATGGAGAAGCAGCATTTAGTTGCTATGCTACAGTGATCTGGAATAAAGTCCCAGAAGACTGGAAAAGGGCTAAAATCCTGACTTCTTTTAAGTCAAAACCCATTTGTTTAGAGCTTCCTTTGACTGGGGACGTTAAACTGTTAACTCAGGTATTATAATAAGGCTGTGGTCCAAGAGTTCTATTTGTTTTACACATGTTCTTATCTTTATTTGCTATTATTCTTGTATTGTACTTCTATTTTATCATTTAATTCATGTAAACTTTGAATTATCCATGTACTGAATTGTGTTATACAAATAATGCCTTGTTGGTCCTGGGAGCAAACTGGCATTACAAAATCTTAAACATTTATAGAAAGCTTTGAACATTGGTAGCCTTCCAGGCTAATAGCATTATGGTTATATATTATAGCATTACGGTACTGCTGGATGCAGCTAAGACTCCATCAGAATAATGGCACAGCAGTTACATATCTCCTTTTAAAAAAAGAAAAGTAACTGGAAATTAAGAAATAACGGGGGCTGTTCCAATCTCCACAGTGAGTTGCATGAATTGAATCAAGATTGTCTCTCTACCTAAATGCCTGAATCTGTTTTTGAAATTGTCAATTTTCTTACTCAATAAGAAATTTCTTTAATTACTTGACTTGAAAGTATTGCTATTTGTCTTTTAATCTCAGATATTTGTCTTTTAATCTCAGATCACTCTAATAGATTATCAGAAGTTAATCGATGTAAGTCCAAACTTAAAAGTGGTCTTTCTCTGCTACGCAGTATTATTATTATTGCCCTGCAAATGCTAGGACTCTTGTGTACTGGCATGAATTATACACGCTCATGTCTGCTGCAAAATTTGTTTCTTTTTATTTTGTTTTTTTCTCTTCTTTCTTTTTGCTTTACTAGTGTTTATGAGAGGAAAAAAAACAGCTAAGTGAACATACAGTATTTAAGGAGGAATGCAATCCTTCTACGGGAACTGAATGACTCAGACCCAGAGGAGCTAAAAACTTGTCTAACAAGCTTTTCCAGGTTTTTCGGGAATGATTATAAACCCAGGCTGGTAAAGTCAGCAGCGCTGGTGAAATGGTTCCATAAGAGGGCACTAGAGAAGAAATAGCAGCTGTTTTACATTCCCTCCACTCTTCCACTGAGCCTCCTTGTACTGGGGAATATTCTGGATATTCTTTTTTATAATTTTTTTTAGGATTGTTTTTATTCATAATTTATTGTTTTACTTCAATAGCGTCCAGGTAATGTGATCCATTGATAGAAAATCTGCCTAAAATACTAGATGGGCCAGATGAGGCGAACTCACGTTTAATTTCATTTTAAGTCTATATTTTTAGGATTTTCTTTATTCAAAATTTATTTTCTTCTATAGCTTGACTCATTGACAAAAAATCTGCCTGAAATTGTTTTCAAAAGTTTTCTCTCATATAGCTTTCACGTCAGATGACCCACAGACTTAGATTTTTGGGGGGGTTTTTTCTGTTTTTATTGACATAAAACTGTCACAAGTGCAGAGTAACGAAATTAACTCTTAAATTAACAAATCCCTTTTGGGGAGCAGTGGGCTGCCATTGTGCAGCACCCGTGGAGCAGTGTGGGGTTAATGGTCTTTGTTCAGGGACCTAGAGTGGCAGTCCATGGGTGTGGGGCTTGTACTCAGAACCTCTGGAACCCAAGCGCAAAGCCCTAAATCACTAGGCCACCGCTTCCCTTAAATCAGTCTGAAATTGTTGGGGCAGATGAGGCACACTCGTTTTTATTTTCTTTAAGTTTTTTAAATATATTTTGTAATTTCTTACAAAAAAAATGCAGTGTTTTTCTACAATAGATTCCATTTACTTCAATAGCTAAAATTATAAAAGACTTCAAATGAAATAAAAAGTGAGTGTGCCTCATCAGTCCCATCTAGTAGAACAATTTTAGGCAGATTTTGAGTCAGTGGAAAAACAATTGTTCAGTTTGGTATATAAAGCGGAGCATAGAGCGAGTGGTGGAGCGGCGTGCAAGAAACATGGTGGAGCGCAGAGGGGTTTTCAATTCAAAGGCCGGAATGATGATTTCGCTTCGCCCCAGTTTGCTCCAATGCGCTCACAACAATCAATCAAAGTAATTGGAATAGATTTTATTTAAATTCATGTTTCACTTAAAACCTAGGCCAATGCCTATGCTGTAGTCTGTGCCTATAATCTGCTATAGTCTATGTTTCAAATTTACCACGGAATTGCCGAGACGAGGACTTCATATAATGTGATAAAAAGGGGCATAAAATATCATAAAAACATACACTAACTACACTTAACAATACAGTATGGGTTTACATAAAGTGATAGTTGTTTTTGAAAATGGATCTATACATGCATTATACACTATTATCTAATTTATAATGGGATGCGAAGTGACCTTTTATTAATGTAGTCTAGTAAAATAAATAAATAATTAAATAGGAAATGCGGGTGTCATGATGGGTCTAATGTGTTAGGCCCGCATGCAGAAGCACTCACAGAGAACGTAAAAGGTTAAACAGTTTATTGGAGAATAAGCTGTACAGAGATTGGGAAAAAAATGTTCTTCAGCTTGGGGAAGGTCCATCGATCGGTGAACCAGAAGCTCTAGGAGGAGATCAGAGTCTTTTTTGCCCTCATTTCACCAGAAATGAGGGCAAAAAAGAATGCTGGGACCCTTTTCCAGGTGGAAAAGGGTCTCAGCATTCCAGCGCACCTCGTTCTTCTAGCTGGTCCATCTTCACGAGTCTTTTACCACAGTGGTGGTCATAGAAACAAAATAGGCCAGTAAGGTACCAAACAAGAAATACACATAGTTTAGAGCGGATGTAGAATTGACCAATCGGAGGCCTTCTGTCTGTGGTCACCTACCATTTTAAAGAGGTTCACCAGAGTGTCTGTGGAAGGGATGGGGGCATATCTACACTAACTCTGACACACATGCAGACGACCTGGTTTCTGAGTATAAATCAGCCTTAAGAGTGACACTAAAGGGAAAGACAAGTACAAAGCAAGGTTTGTAGCTAAGGGTTACAACCAGAAGACTGGATTGATTATGGTGAAACATTCCTCCCAACAGCAAACTTGACAAGTGTGAGGGTATTGTTACAGAAAGCAGCACAGGACAATCTGTTACTCCTTTAAATGCGTGTAAAAACTGCTTATCTTCATGCACCTATTGATTATGAAATTGACATAGACTAACAAGAAGGATACAAAGATGTACACAGAGATGTAAACACGGATGTCAAATATCATTTCATAAGGTCCATTGTGAACGAGGGAAAAGTAAGTCTGCTATATTGCACTACTGAAGAGATGGGTGCAGATGTTATGAGCAAGCCTGTCACCAAGTTAAAATTGAAAAAGTTTGCAGACACTATATGTTTGGCATTTAAAAAGGGGCAGAAGAGGTCCACATCTATGTTTCATTATTGTGTGTAATTTTTTTTTTTTTTAGTTTCCACAAACTGAATACAATTTCTGTGTACTGTACTCAGTTTGTGTGCAGTGTCTTTTTTCGCCACAGTGTGTCGCTGTGAGACTGGCAACAGGTGTCAGTGCATTTTTGCTTTTTTTCCCTCCCCAATTCCTGTTCTCTGTTATGTTCTCTGCTGTGGAGTCAGTCAGTTAATAAATATGTCAAGAGGGCTAAAGAAGAGATTGCTTCTGTGTCTGTGTTTCCCCCAAGTTCAAAGGTGGTGAAGCTGCAAAGCTCAACAGTCTTAACCCAGATCTTAACCCTAGCCCTAAGCATCACCAACTTAACCATAACCTAAATTGATTTTAAACCTTATACCTAAATCTAGCTCCAAACCCAAGAAGGGAACTTTTTTTGTTTTGTTCTTTTGGAGTCTACACTCCACACCTACTTCTACCTGCCTGCTCTGTTGCTCCACCTTTTGTCAGAAATGTGTTTTGCTGTTATTTTTATCTGCCATCAGATAAATAGGGCACTTGGTTGTCTTGCACCTTTCTGAAGCCATTCCACACACAAAACCACAGGTAAGAAGATTTAAAACCTAGATATATTTTTAACAAACAGATTTAAATCAGTAAAATAAAATAGAGCCTCCAATGAGGCTCAGTTTTCAGATTAAACGTACCAGTTGTAAAAAGTAATAATTTTAAGCTGTATTACTTTTTTTAGCATTGTTTTTTTATTTTTCTCTTGTAATATTCTAATCTTTATGAATGTTTTAAGTAGAAATTATTAATATTAACAGAAATTAAAGCTTGAACATAATCATTTAGATTTGAACTGAGTTACTGAAATAAATGAACTTCAATGATATTCCAATTCATTAAGATGTACTTCTATATGCATTTTTGAATTAATTACTTTGATATAAAGTTTTGGAAGGGATATATATGTCTTAAAACATAATTATGGAAAATGTATGTAAGTGAACAAACAAACAAACAAATTTGAGCGAATGTGATAACAACAAAAAACCAAACTCATAGTTTTAAAAGTTACCAGTGGAACATTTTACACAGATTGTAGAATGGGTTATGTATAAAAATAAAACAGTGTGAACTAATCTTCAGAAAGTAGGTGAACAGGTTCAACAAGGACTTCACTCTTTTGTGCCTGGTGTTTAGTTATCTCCAGTGGATTCCCTTTGGTATTTGCATCACAGGTATTTAAAGCATTGCAAAGAAAATGACTCATTACTTTTTAGAACCTGTTTAATGCTAGCAGTTGCTTCAATCCTACAATGGACCGTATTGTACAATTGTTTGCATTTATATTCAAATCAAATCACTAATGGACTGCCATGTTGTTTTGTGTATTGTCTGTGTGATTGGACAACAGATAAAAGTGTGTCAAACTCTCAAATCAAGGTCAAATAACTAACTCTACACCTATATGGAATAAATTCACAACTTCATTTCAAATATGCGAATTTATTAATAGGAATAATTCAACTCAAGGTTAATGATATATCAGTTTAAAACTTTCAAGCTAGTGAATCTCAATTAATTATCTACTACGTACACTTACAGGAAAAAAGGCAAATGAAAATATTTGAAAAATCCTGATCAATAAGATCAGGTGAAGATATCACAGATAACACAGGATTTTTTTGATAACACATGATTTTTTTGTTTTGAGAAACAAAGTTTATCTTGAAGAGTTTGAAATCTTTTCAAGTGAGCTTTTAAACATATCGAGAGCAATTGGAATGCAATCAGCCCGCACAAAAGCAAAGAGGTTGCTTTTGAAAAATTCTCAAAACATTTTTTTGTAGAATAATATTTTAAAATCTGATCTTATTTTATCAGAAATCAATAACTTTTTAGATAATTAATTCTTAACATTATGTGATTATTCCCAATGAGTTGAAAAAGGCAAAGTAACACTTATGGCAAAGGGTTTTGTTTAGCTTGCCTTTTTCTGACATACCATTAATTCACCACCCCAATATTCAGACAACGCCCCAATAACCCTTTACAAAGACATGCCCCTCTACGATCAGTTGCATCCCCCCACTATGACAGTTTTAAATGTTGCCATTCCGACACAAGTACACTCGTGTGTTGAATAGGGCCACTCTTCACAAGAACTCTGAAAAGATAGCAGCAAGAAGAAGAACTCTACAGGTTGCCAAAGAGATACACAAAGCACACCACAATTATGATAATAACATTATAATCATTATTATAATTATCATTATTACTGTAATTATATGATGCGAAATGTGTGCCATACACATTGTAAAGAGTTCACATGATACTTTTACATCAGTGGATGAAGAGCTTTGCGCCCTGTGCAGGACCTTGCGCACCTGACACATAGCTGACAGCACATTCCCATTACCAGGAGAAAAACCTATAAAATCTGCAGAACAGCAACCCTGCTTGAAATAAAGTAACCTCACTTTAAATTAAATGTAAATAAATTTTAGAGAAGAGGCTTAAAGCATGTTAGCCCCTGAAGCCACTGGCATCTGTATTAGTGTTATTACATTGTTTGGTTTTAAATACAGTAGAAACACTTTGTCATGCTTGCATCTCTGCTTCTGTCTCCTTGAACCCCAGTCGGCCTCAGCAGATGGCCGCTCACACTGAGCCTGGTTCTGCTGGAAGTATCTTCCTGTTAAAAGGGATTATTTCCTCTCCACTGTTGCTAAAAGCATGCTTAGTGTGAGGGATTGCATTTGAGGGAATGAGTCAATGCAATCAACTGGTTTTGCTTAGAAAGAAAACGTTGAATCACTTTGTATGATCTGGTAACTGTAAAGTGCCTTGAGATGACATGTGTTGTGAATTGGCGCTATATAGATAATCTGAATTGAAACGACCCGGCTCATAGCCCATTACAAAACCCACTAAGACAAAAATCTAAAGTAAATAATGGAAATTTTAATAGAGAATAATCTTTGAGTTGTTTGTGCTCATGAAACAACCAAGGTTGGTAAGCTTCCCCCATTCTCTAGGTGTCAGAGAAAGAAGAAAGAGATCCTATGGCAAACCACAATAGGACAGTTGTTTCTGTAGATCCTGAAAAGGTTTCCCCAGCAGCACAATATATAATCTGTTAATTTTGAGAACATCAGCAAAAATAAAAAGTGCAATGTTTCAAATAAAAAAAAAAAAGTTAAAATCAGCAGAATAAACCGAGTCCGATCGCCCCAGCACTCATCTGCACAATTGGAACACCTCAATCAAATATAGTGCCAACTTTTCTCTTATTGCACATGTTTACTGTACTGTATATTATTTGACCATATTCAATTTTTTATGCACACTGGAACAGATATGCAGCCAAATATTTGGTGGATGTTAGGTAATTCCCCCTAAAGTCCACTCGGAAAATATTAAATAAATAGAACAATAAGAAAGCTCTGCTTTGACTGAGTATAATGAATCATGGTATACATGTAACTTCTTAAAAGCTACAGAAAAGTCTACTGGAGCCCTGGTTGAAACTCTATGGAAAAACTTTTTGGATTAAGCCACCATTTTTACAAGCACTTTCTACATATGGCTTTTGACTTGCAGTCTTATGCATCGGAGATCAAAAGTTATCAGCTGCAAATGCAGCCTTGCAATACATGATACAAGTAGCTCCCACAAAAAGATGGATGTTGAACAACCTCGTACTTGAGGGATTGTCACTGCTGTCCTGACATCTTCTTGCTTCTGCAAAACAGGTTATCAGGTGTCAGTAAGAGAAGCCATAATGGCTAGCCATTTGTCTAATTTTGCAGGTGTGAGTCTGAGTGAATGATAGGGATAGGAAAAATGTTTTTCCCACCCCAATTCATACCCATTAAACCTTTCCACATTTCCTCCTTTCATAAACGTGTAAAGGTCAGTGTGGTGTTGTTCTAAATGAATAAGAAATGTCAGACTGGTGCTTCTTCAAGTATGTGAGACCTACTGAAGAAGCAGCAGAGTGACATTCCACTCTTTCTGAATCGAGATGACACACCCACTTGACAAATCACCTAAACAATGAAACACAGGGAAGATTTATCTACAACTAATCTCAACTGATAACCAGTTTTTATGCAGTGGTGTGGATCAAAGCCGATTCATACATGTAACTTAAAAAGCTTGGTGTCACAATTGGTGTCACAATTTCATTAAGAAGGGCTTACCCATACTTCAGACACGTTTTCTAAACTCTTAAACCAGACTCGCACCTACAAAACACAATTTGCAAATGGATAACTCTCTTCTCAAAAATGCATTTTGTTAAATGTATACTAACTTCAAAATATAACACACTTTTCTCTGCACACACTATCTTTACCAAAACACTGAACATCTGACTCAAAATGAAATTATTCTATCAAAGAATGACACTTGTTTTCACTTCACAAAATACATGCAGTCAATCAAAGTGCACCAGGTTTCAAAATACTGGCTATTGTTGACATAAAAAAAAACTACATAGACTTTCATGTTTCAGTTTTACAGGTATTTGCATGCAAACTTGCATTCCGTTTTTACACTAAATTTCTTGGTTGGTAACTATATGTCCACATATACAGTAATGCTCGCATTCAAAAGCATTCCAGTAAAAAGCAAATCCGTTTTTTTTTTCTGTACTGTTTACTAAAGGAGGCACGGTAGAAACACGGTTTGATAGAGCAGAAAAAAGTTTTACAGTATTTCTTACAATGAAAAAAATATCTGTGAAACACACAAGACCACTCTGAACAAAAAGAACAACAGAGACAAGTCCAGATAAATATTGGGGGAATAAACTAAATAAAAAGCACAACATTGCTATAACAGATAATTACAAAGGTCCTCATGTTTTCACCCTCCCAATACTGCTCTGGAAACAGGTGCTGGTGGAGATCATTGAGAAAGGCAAGGATGCACTCAGTATTATAAGGTCCAACCTGACATCTGTGAAGGAGTTATCCTGCATCTGCAATTGCTGCACACATGATAATGTTTGCCCCTCTCTGCGCTGGCACATCAACTGTGGCTCGTTTTCCAATTACATTTCGTCCACGTCGACTCCTCTTAGCCAGATTGAATCCTGCCTCATCTATATATATATATATATATATATACGGTATATATATATATATATATGTATTCATGAGGGGCCTGGTTGGCCTCCAATTCCAAAACTCTGAAACAAAGTTTAGGTAAATCATGTCATTACTATAATCCATACTGTACTGTAACCTATAACTGTGTAGGTTAAGTGCAAAGCTTATAGAACTGGACATTGAATTGAATATACACTATACCTGGGCATATTGTTTTCATCGCTCCTTGACTCTCACTGTTCCTCTCAAAGGGAACAGGGTAGAGCTGCTTCATCCACACTCTGTGTTTGGAGAATGTCCGCGTAATGGTCGAGAGGCAGATGCTATCGATGTTATCAAATATCTCATGGTCCTCCACAATCCTAGTTTGAATTTCATGCAGTTTTATTGCAGTTTGCAACAACTATTTCTACAATGGCCAGCTGTTGATTGTTATTGATGAGCTTTCCTCTTCCCCGTGAGGGTGGAAGACATTGAATTCTTTACAGGGACAAAAAAAACAAACATATGCATTACTGTATGACCTTATTGAAATGTCAAGTGAAAATAGAAACGATCCATGTAAAATGCAATACTTACCTGTTGGTTTGCTGAAAGATGCATATAAAGGAGGCAACCATTGACTGCCTCAAATTGGGCTGCACTCTTTCACCAGCCTCTCTTAGTTAAAGACCATGGTTGATTACATGGTAAATGAATGTTGCACGAATTTCATCATTGATTACTGTTCTTGGAGCCACTGGATTGCCTCCACCACGCATTCTTACACCTCCAACTTGCCCTCTCCTTGGGCCTTCTATTCTCCCTTGGCCCCTTGCTCTTACTCTTCCTTGTCCAGACATTACAGTTCTTTTTATGTTTATTTTTCCAAAAACATCACTCCTCAAAGTCTTCCTTTTATATATACATGTCAATGTAGTAGAGGAAAAACACCCTGGCACTGCAAGTCTTAGCCAGACTGGAATCATCTGTGGTTGGCCCAATTTACCCAACATAAATCAGCTATGTGTCAATTATTTAAATGTTTGTTTATTATCAGCCGAGGTTTATTGTTTTAGAACGATATTATTGCAGAAACAGAGGTTTTTATACTGTATCTAAGGTTTGAAATAACGTTTTTGCTATTGTGGGATGGTGTGTGTAAATACTACAAAAACAATCCATAATTTTGTTGGGAGATATAGTGTGTCTATTAAGAAAATTTAAGCTTTGTGGAAATGTGTTTACTGACTATATGTTGTGTGAAAACAACATGAAATGTGTGAATGGTATGGCCATGAAAGACCGATACTGTGCTGTGTTTAGAGATTTGAAAATGTGACAACTGATTTGACAAAAGCTTGTCAGTGACTGAAAAAACTGTAATCCTGCTTACTACTGTACCTTAAAAGTCAGAAGTACTGATGACACATTCAATATTTTAATGCTTTCCTGTGCTATCTCTTACTTCCTTGGCAGGTAAAATGGAAAAAGGTGAAGGACTTCCTCTAGATAGTGCAGTTGTACAAGATATTCCAGGTATTCCATATTTCCCAGCTCCAGTTTTAGAATATCTTTTTTTTTTTGTTTCTGCTGTCAATGTTCTGTAGTTGTTCCCATGTTAGTTCAATCTTATGGGGATTAAGTTCATGGTTTAATACTGAATTCTTTATACATTATGTATAGTCATTTTAGATTCTTCTCTATCTTTTTGTTCAATTCAATTCAGTTTATTTATGTAGTACCAATTCACAACATATTTCATATTTCTCAAGGCAATTTACGGTTCACCAGATGATACAGTCAAATTGATTCAAAGTTTTCTATCTAAGGAAAACCATTTGATTGCATGAACTAATTGACAAAAAGCCTTCACACTAAGCATGCTTGTAGTAACAGTGGTGAGAAAAAAAAAACTTTTAACTGCTGCTGAGGCCAACTGGGGAGGCAGACTCAGGGAGACAGAAGCAGACATACAGAAAGAAGCAGAGATACAAAAGGCAACTAGAAAAGATGGCCCCGTCCAGGCAGACAAGCTCCAAGCCAGCTCCCATGTCAAAGGATGAACAGAGCACATTCAGCCAGTCACAGTCAGAGAAACAGGACTACACTGAAAAACAGGCTGATCTCGAACATCAGTAAACAAATGTGTTTATGGCAGCAGCACAGCTGATATTTCTCTCCAGGGTGGTGTCACAGCCAAACAGGAACAGACGAGGCAAAGCTACTATGAGAAAAAGCAGAGAGAGTTTAATGTTACAGATTGAACTAACATGTTCTGAAGAGTGGGAGAATAGAGAGAGACTTAAGCAGAATGATGAAAAAAGGGTCCCTATGTCCTCCAGAAGTCTAAGCCTAACCCAGCATGATTATAAAGATACTCTACTAAGGATAACATTAGACACTCTTAACTATAAGCTTTATCAAAATGGAAAGTTTTAAACCTACCCTTAGAAGTAGACAGGGTGTCTGCCTCACAGACTAAAACTGATAGTTGGTTCCACAGGAGAGGAGCCTGATAACTGATAACTCCCCTTCTATTTTTTGAACTTCTCGGAACCACTAGTGAACCTGCAGAGTGAGAGCAAAGTGCTCTGTTTGGAACATAAGGAACAATCATAACAGGAATCATTAATAGGAAGCCAATGAAGAGAAGCTAGGATAGGAGAGATATGATGTTATGTTTATTCAATGATTATTATAAAGTTAATGTGTGTGCATATGAAACATTGAAGAAATAAGATGCTACATTCTGTCCTGTGATTTTATGACCTGCCTCTCAGTCAGTTGGTCATTCTAGGGTCATAGGACCCACCCCATTGTGTCATGTTCTGTTAATAAGACTCTGCTGCTCTGGTGGGGGACAGAAACGTGGTGAAATGTGAGCAGGCAGCCTTTCTCCTCCTGCAGGAAGCTGTGTTTGAAAATCCCTTGGTGTGTCAGATTTTTTGTCCTATATGAACTCACAATTTTTTGAAGCTAACATATGATCTCTCTTTTTAATGTCCATCAGAACAGCAGCATTTGTGGCAGCAGCATTTTGGATCAGCTGAAGGCTTTTAACTACAGTTTGCGGACTTCCTGATAGTAAAGAATTACAATAGTCCAGCCTTGATGTAACAAATAACCGGACTAGTTTCTCAGCATCACACTTGGACAGGATATTTCTATTTTTTGCAATATTGCACAGATGAAAGAAGGAAATTCTAAAAATCTCTTTGATATGGAATTTAAATAACAGGTCCTGGTCAAAAATAACACCAAGAGTTTTTACTTTATTATCTGGAATCAGTTTAATCCCATCCAAATGAAGTGATTGACTAATCAGCTTCTTTTTCAAAGACTCTGGTCCAAAGACTATTACTTATATTTTGTCTGTATTCAGGAGCAGAAAATTAAGAGACAGCCAGGTTTCTATATCTTCAAGTCGGTAATCTATGGGTTAGTTTCATCTCGATTTTTAGACAGATATAGCCGAGTATCATCAGCATAACAGTGGAAATTAAACCCATGCTGTCTAATAAATCTACCAATTGTGAGCATATAGTAAAGAGAATTGGTCCTAGCACTAATCTCTATTTGATAATGATCTGCTAAATGAAATCTTCTTTCGGGGGAGGGGAACCCTATTTAAGTAATCCTGAAGGTTATTAAAAAGTGGTCAGAAAGTATGAAGATGAGAATGTGTGGGACTATTCACATTTTGATCTAAGCCAATAGCATCTAAGATACCATTAAATGCTGCATTTAAGCTATCACCGTCAATGTCAGCATTAATGTTAAAATCCCCCACTATGATAACCCTGTCAGTATTTAACACCAAATCAGATAGGAACTCTAAAAGTTCAGAGTAAGGACCTGGTGGATGATACAAAGGTACAAGAAGAGGTTTTCTTGCTTTGCAGTTTCGATGAGAGAAACTAAGGGTTAAATGTTCAAAAGAGTTGTAGTTATTAACTTTCTTTGGAGTAATCAATAAGTAGGACTTAAAGACTGTTGCTACTCCTCCTACTTGCCCAGAATTTCTGGGTATGTAAAAATTTAAATAGCTAGAAGGAGTTACCTGATTTATGCTTAAATAATCCTCTTGCTGCAGCCAAGTTTCTTTAGGACAACATAAATCAGTGTGGTTACCACAAATCAGGTCATTTATTAGCAGACTTTTTGAAGAAAGAGATCTTAAGTTAAGTAAACCACATTTAATCGTTTTAACTTTTTCCCCAATCTGAGTTATTTTAATTTAAGTTAGATTATCATGATTTGCTCCTTTGGGAATCTTTTTGTTCGTGGGCAAGACACTGTGTGGATGGAGCAATGAGAGGTAACAGTAGACAAGCTGCAGAGAGGTGTGTTAAACTATGACTCTGCTTCCTGGTCTGCACCCTGGGTTGTCAGAGATTTGGAGGACTAAAAATTTTTGCCAGATTCCTAGATATTCAATATGTGTACTTGTGCATTCTCATGTGCTTGTGTACTCGTGAAACGTCATCAACCTCAGCCCTAGTACTGTTCCAATTCAAAAGAACCGCAGACCGAGAACAGACAAAGTCCCAGGATGTTAATCTCATGTACATGTGTATATATATATATATATATATATATATATATATATATATATATANGCTGCTGAAAGCGAGGCAGAGTGTGCTAGCAGATGAGGAAGTGGAACTCTGGAAGTCCGCCTTCCTCGGCGGTGTCTCTGGATGGATTGTACGGTCACCACCATTTCGTAGGCCGGATCTCACTGAACTCTGTGTTAAGCTGTCCTTGATGGTAGCATAATAATTGTGTAGTAGTGTAGGATAACATAAATACACACCATATGAATGAATAAATATATAAATGAATAAATATATTCATATATATTCATATATATAGTATATTCATATATATTCATATATATAGTATATTCTTTCTTTTTTTATTGTATATTTATGTTATCCTTTGCTGTATTTTCTTTAACATCTTTGGCAGATAAAAAGATGGGAAAAGATGAGGGGCCTCCCTCAGTTGAACCAGATATTCCAAATAGCCCAGCACCACCATATCCTGGCTCCCCTTTGGACAGTAACATGGTATTCAATCTACCCACACCTGATGGTCAGCCAGCATCTGAGTCTTTTGTTTCTCAACCTGATACTAAACAGCAGTATCCTCAACAGCAATTTACCCAGCCCGATGCTGTACAGTATCAACAATCGGCTGATCCGCCATATCCTCAGCAGCAATTTGCTCAGCCTGATATTCAGCAGTATCCACAAGCTTTTGATCAGCAATATCCTCAGCAGCAATTTCCCCAACCTGATGCTCAGCAATATCAACAAACTGATTATCAGCAATATCACCAGCAGCAATTTCCCCAGCCTGATGCTCAGCAATTTCAACCACAATATGTTATGCCTGGTAAGATATCAGACATGATCTTTGGTGTCAATTGTTTTGCATTTATGCAGTTATTACCAGGCATTTAGCTAGTTTCTTTGTCCAGTTAATTATAATTTAAATCCTTTTCTATGTCTAGTTCAGCCACCGCAAACACAACCACAACCACAACAACAACCACAAGTTGTGCAAATCGTTAACCAACATCATGTTGTCCAGCCAAGTAAGTGACATTATTAGTTACTTTTTATAAATGTATATAGATATCTAAATATACAAATGTATGAGTTGTGTGTCATTAACTAAAGTTTGCCAATAGTGAACCAGCCGGCAATGGTGGTGCAACAAATGCCCACTGAACATCCTGGAACTATGATATGTCCACATTGCAGGAGCCAAGTTGTCACTGTAATTAGTTACAAAGTAGGCTGCTACACCTGGATCATTGTTGGAGTGCTGTTTGCATTTCTGTAAGTAGAAACTTGAACATGAAAATATGCATAAAGTTGGTCGTGGATTCAAATTGTTGTACCAATTACTGATGTTAGAACTGAATCAGCAATTCTCTCTGTTAGATTTCTAGAAATACAAGTAGTACAGCTCAAAATACAGTTAAAAAAAACTTCTTAAGTATTTAATTGTACCACTTTACTTCAGTCTGTTTTGAAAGGTAATTTAGCGATTTATTGATGCTATCATAATGCTGCTGGTAGACTTAATTGGGTAAACTGTTAATTCTTTAGTAAGGTGTCACAGTTTTAAAATTGGAGGCTAAGTTAAGCCGTGTCTATTTTCAGCTGTATATGACCAGATGATATTATTATAATGCCCAACTGAAGATAAAGTAAGAAAAATATTATTCTAGTCTTAGCTGGTGACTGCTGCCTCTCACTGCTGTTAAAGTCAGTGTTGCTGAGACTTTTCTAAACAAAGCTCTGTCTTTAAAACTAAATGTATCTTTTAAGTCCAAAGAAAACAGAGTTTTTAGTTTTAATAGACAATTGAAGAATTGTAGAATATCTATAATTCTCTGTGAAGCAAAGGTTAAGCCAAAAAAACAGTCATAAAATAAAGCTGTCATTGTTCCAATCCTCACTTATAATCATGAGATATGGGTGAAGACCATGGGGGGCTTCAACCACTACATCGAAAGAAGTTACTTCTCTTTCATAGCATTTGTTTCGTGTCTCACATTGGGAACAGAAGCTCCTTTGAAATCACGCCAGCCAGGATTGGCTGGACAATAATCCTTTCAGTCGCACTGAGGGCAGAGTCCCTCCCCCTATATATAGGGCTGAGATCACTGAGGCTCCACACACTGGCTCACAAACTAATCATTTGGAGCAGCAGACATTTTCGTCTTTGTAGGCCACCCATTTCCAGGGAGTGCAGAACTGTGTAACAGATCGTCTCTCCAGGGAGAATACCATGTATGCAGAGTGAAAACTCCACCCAGAGGTGGTAAGGATGGTCTGGCAACGGTTCGGTCAGCCATCCATAGACCTCTGGCCTCATGTTTTGCTTTATGTGTTTCCCCCAATAGCTCTCATCCCGCCTACATTAGCCAGGGTGTGAGGAGACGGTCTGACAATGATTATCATTGCACCCAATTGGCCAGCGAGCATTGGTTAATGGGTATTGCAAGGACAGATTTTTCACCCCCAACCATAAAGACTAGCTCTGTGAGCTTGGCCTGTGAGTGGTTTAACCTACAGTCTGCAGGTTAAACTACAAAAATATTATTGAGACAATACAGGATGATAGAGCTCCTGCAACACGATCTCCGTATGGATATACAGTAATTGGTCAGTTTTAAAATAAATGAAGAGCTTTCTTCACTAGTAAGGTCTATCAAGCAGCAATTTCAGTCTGCCACATAGGCTTTGAGGGGAGAACTGTTGGCCAGCATTCCGTGGTGTGCCGGGAGCTTGAAGGAAGCTCCCTCTTTCCGTACTCTGTCATTGCAAGGAAGAGGTGATCGCTTTTTGAATAACTGTCAGCACAGTGTCAGCCCTATATATAAGGGGAGGGACCCTGCTCTTGCTGACACTGACAGGCTTATTGTCCAGCCAATCCGGGCTGGCGCAATGTAAGAGGAGCTTCTGATGAGGGCTGAAGGTGTTTCCAATGTGAGACACTCACTCATGCTACTCAGAGAACAAGGGTTATGAAAGTAATCAAAGTTTTTTAGTCCTTAGCTCATCATGATTGTAGATAATACGGTAATTAGTTTGATGTTGGATACAGCAACAACTTCATATTTATGAATTATTGCAACAAAGAAATGTTGAAAACGCGTCAAAGAATATTCTGAACCAAAATATTGAGTTTGTTTATCAGTTTTAATTATCAATATGATCAAATATTGCCCTGTCTGTTTTTATCCCATCCTCCTCAACAGATGCTGGCCTTGTTGTTTGATTCCCTTTTGTTGCAACTCTTGCAAGGATGTGGAGCATTCCTGTCCACAATGCCACAACAAACTGTACACCTATGAACGAAAATGAGACAAAGGTTTCAATCCTACAGTGACTGAATAAGATGATGAATCTCATTAAGGTCGACTGTAAAACATTTATGAAGTTTCCCTGATATATTTTACCAAATTGTTAAAAGATGGCATTAACTTGTGCTCGTTTTACTCTATGATACGACATTGTTAATGAATTTGATTTAATAGCTTGGTGTAATCATTTATTAAAGATAAAGAATGTATTGCTTGCTCCTCTGGATATTGTTTCCATATTGTTTCTTGTCAGATTACTTATTCTAACATTAAACGTTTTTTTTTTAATATACCTTCATGTATATTAACCTAAAGAAAGCTTTTGGAATATATTGAAAGATATCTAAACCTTAATTTCATGAATCACTTCATACATCAGAAATGTATATGTTGATCAAAAATGTAATATACTGAAAGCCTTTTATAATCATGCAGTTAGATCATATCCTACTCTGATAATGCTGTTGACTTTATAATACATGCTTGAATAATTAATAATCAGTGATTAAACTGGAGACCAATGCTCAAATTCATTCCTTTATTTAGTTATTTTGAGACACATGAAAATGTTGGCCAAAAAAACCCCAAAATAATATCAATGTAATTATATCTTTATATTCTGTTCTTTAATTAAGGCAGGAATGTGGCTTTATACGCAAAAGCTGATTTGACTGAAACAGCATATAACATCTAAAGAAATATTAATACCTCCACCAAGGAGGCTATTCTTGGTTTTTAATGTTGGTTTGCAAGTTAGCAGGACACCTGAAAAGTCATGAATGGATTTTAATGAAATTAGATGTAAAAGTTGGAAAATCCAAACTTTTGCTGCTCAATACATATAATGTAAGTACAGTTTGCTTATGTGTAAATTCTAAATTAAGACGGTTTCCTTCAAAATGATTCATTATAAATTTTCATGTCAGGTTTAAAAAAAAATCAAAGGGAAAGAGGCAGTGCTCAATGACTCATAGGTAAGATAAGAACAAGCTAATATTAATGATCTTCCATATTGCTAGTATTACTGGCTAGTTACTTCTATTAATTTGTGCTAGTTATAGATGCTTTAAATCAAACTAGGTAATATATTAATAAATGTTATAGGGTTGCTGAATGGTGATATGACAGAAACCAGATATCATAGCAGTTTATTTCTTTGAAGGACAGTAGAAAGAGCACCTTATTTAAAGATTATTATGTTCAATAAGCTAAGATGAACAGCACTGTCATGATTTTACTAACAGAGAGACCAGGGAAAAGTTTAACAGGTTTATTAGAACAATGACATGTGTCCAAAGCTGAACACTGAAAGGTGAGGGAACTGAAAGGTGAGGGGAAGACACTGCGGTTAGTTCAGGCTCAGTGGGAAATTAGAATCTTGGGCTTGAAGAGGAGGAATAGGTTGCAGACTCATGTTTCCAACAAAAGGTGTCCTTTATAGAATCCAGTCTGCGTGTGATGTTCCAGTGAAGTCTTGTTTGATGTTGGGTGGACAGGGTTTACTCAGACTGCGGTTGTTCCTTGGTGAACGGAGAAGCTGACTGCCACTCAGATTTCCTGCGGTACTTGAACGGGTCATAGTGGAGATTAATCCCTTTCTCAGTACGAAGCTCAAACTATCTCTTGGGGAAAGTGGATCCAAACCTCCTGTTTGAACCCCAGCTCAGTTTGAAGCTCAGTTGATCCTTCCAGGGAGAGAAGGTCCGAGAAATCCAGTTTGCAGGATGACTTCCTGCCGAGAGGCAAAGACAAAAAACAAAGTTAAACTCAGGTTGACAAAAACTCAGTTTGACTCAGCAAACTCAGCTTGGCTAGAGTGCCCAAAACTGGCAAAACAAAAACTTAGGTTAGACTCTGGTAAACTAAGAATGGCTAGAGTACCCACAATTGGCAAACACTCAGCCTTGAGGTAGTGGAAGTCAGCAGCTTAAGAATACTCCACAGGTAATGAGGCAATGAGCTGCAGGTGTGCAGGGAGGCCCAATGAGGACGGGGCACCACCTAGTGGAGGAAAAAAGGAGACACAGAAACAAACCACAAAAACTGGATTCCTGACAAGCACAAGTCTACTGATGTTAGATAGTTTTGCAGTTGTGATGAATCCTTTGAAAAATTGTGTAGATTTAGGTTAAGTTAAATGAATTTAAACAAAAAGTATCTGCAACTTGCATTCTTTATTAATATTATTAGTACTATTTTTGTTCAGTCAAATAAGGTAATGATGACTAGTTCTATGAAACAGAAATAAAACACTGTAGTGTTACAGTATGGCACTGGCCTTAAACTCAGTATTTAATTAATTTGCTTCTTGAAACTCTTATTTATTCAGTAAATGCAAAATGATTTTAAGGCAAGGCAAGGCAAGGCAAGGCAAATTTATTTGTATAGCACAATTCAGTACAAAGACAGTGCAAAGTGCTTTACATGATTAAAATACAGGAAGATAAAACAGAATCAAAGCAAGTAGGANGGTACTTGAACGGGTCATAGTGGAGATTAATCCCTTTCTCAGTGCGAAGCTCAAACTATCTCTTGGGGAAAGTGGATCCAAACCTCCTGTTTGAACCCCAGCTCAGTTTGAAGCTCAGTTGATCCTTCCAGGGAGAGAAGGTCCGAGAAATCCAGTTTGCAGGATGACTTCCTGCCGAGAGGCAAAGACAAAAAACAAAGTTAAACTCGGGTTGACAAAAACTCAGTTTGACTCAGCAAACTCAGCTTGGCTAGAGTGCCCAAAACTGGCAAAACAAAAACTTAGGTTAGACTCTGGTAAACTAAGAATGGCTAGAGTACCCACAATTGGCAAACACTCAGCCTTGAGGTAGTGGAAGTCAGCAGCTTAAGAATACTCCACAGGTAATGAGGCAATGAGCTGCAGGTGTGCAGGGAGGCCCAATGAGGACGGGGCACCACCTAGTAGAGGAAAAAAGGAAACACAGAAACAAACCACAAAAACTGGATTCCTGACAAGCACAAGTCTACTGATGTTAGATAGTTTTGCAGTTGTGATGAATCCTTTGAAAAATTGTGTAGATTTAGGTTAAGTTAAATGAATTTAAACAAAAAGTATCTGCAACTTGCATTCTTTATTAATATTATTAGTACTATTTTTGTTCAGTCAAATAAGGTAATGATGACTAGTTCTATGAAACAGAAATAAAACACTGTAGTGTTACAGTATGGCACTGGCCTTAAACTCAGTATTTAATTAATTTGCTTCTTGAAACTCTTATTTATTCAGTAAATGCAAAATGATTTTAAGGCAAGGCAAGGCAAGGCAAGGCAAATTTATTTGTATAGCACAATTCAGTACAAAGACAGTGCAAAGTGCTTTACATGATTAAAATACAGGAAGATAAAACAGAATCAAAGCAAGTAGGAAAAAATTAAAAAAAAAAATAAATAAAAGAAAATAAAAAATGCAGAAACAAAAAAGAATATTAAAAACAGTTGTACTAAAGAAATATGTTTTAGTTGAACTGTTTAACTAGAACAGTCGCAACTATATGTGGTGAAAGGAAGTGGATGCATTTGTTTGCAGTAAAAGCTCAGCTATTATTTAAGTCTATCAGAAATGCAGAAATAACCCCGAAAAGACAGATAGATAAAAGGATAATGTTACCTATTTTGGACCATTTTTGTTATGTATACTAATCTTCTCAGGACCAACAGGGCTTGGTTCTAATGTGGTGATCCCGCATTTAATGTTAGTGAGTCGGTTTAGACTTATGTGAATTAACTTGAGCTTAAGGTTAGGGTCAGGTATATACTGGTAGTGGTATAAGAAAAAGAGAGCAAGGTTTGAGAGGAAAGATGAAGATTAATTGTATATGTAAAGAAAACCAAAATGCAGACCCCCCACTTTTTAAAGGAAAGGAAACATCTGGGAGAAAATAAGAGCTGTTTAAAAAAGTTAGGAGCTGGTTAAGGATACATTTTTTATCAACAGCATGTATCATCTCTTTCCTCTAGTTGTTACTTGCAGGAAATTAACTCTGAGGCCGAACATTCTCTGAAGATCAAGATCACCTTCATTTACCTTCTGGCACATCTTCCCTCTCCCGCACATGAATTAACTTTCATCCACATCCACCCCATCTCATCCCTCATTCTCAGTCCCACTCATCCTCTGGCTTATCCTACCACCAGTCCCCGGGAGCCTGGGGGAAGACTACTCTAATCCTTTCCTAGGATGCCCATCCAAGCGAATGCTGATTCACAGCATGGATGCCTACTACCGGGGCCCCAGTTGCTTCTTTCTCCTCAAACCTCAGTTGACCTCAGCAGATGGTCGCTCACACTGAGCCAGGTTCTCCTGGAGGTTTCTTCCTGTTAAGAGGGAGTTTTCCTCTCCACAGTCGCCACATGCATGCTTGGTGTAAGGGATTGCAGAGAGTCAATGAGTGCTGGCAATCAGCTGGTTTTCCTTTGAAATATTTTGAAGAATAAGATTGTTTTAACTGTATAAATAAATTAAATGCTTTTCTAATTGCAGCTTTTCTGTGTGCGTCTCCCCATGTTGAATTGTTGTTTGTTATAATTGGGGATTCTAAATTCCTGTTTTAATTTCATGAAAGAAGGTTAGAGTAAAAATAAGGAATGAACATCAGCAGGAGTCTGTGGAATAAAGTACTATTGCGGTTCAGTTTATGTCAGGTTAAAAGCATTTTTGGTAATGAGATTAGAAAATTGTTGGTTGACTAAAAATATTAGAAAATCAAAATTGCCAGCGGTATGAATAACCTTTGTATTAACATTGTTAAAGAGTGTGTAGATGCATGACCTGCTGCCCTGTGTCTATGTGAATTCCTGTTTGGATAAGCAACCGCCTTTAAAAAGGCACATAGCCGCTGTACAAATGAAGAGCAGAGTGAGCACAGTGCTCTGGTATTTTAACTTTTCAATTTTAGTTAATTTTTCAAAAATTTTTTTACACCTTAAAAGAGCATATACCTATACATTTTTGCAAGTTTTTTGGTCTCTAAGGGTGGGATAAATTGTCTTGCTAGGCATACTAATTTCACTTTACTGGAGGGAGAGACTTACTTCCCTACCTTCGAGATGTCACAAAAGTATCACAAGCCAATTTTGTTGATGAATGAACCTTATCTGACCTTCCTTGTGCTCTATCCTTCTTTAACCAATACATAGGGGTTGGAGATTAGGCCTCTCTAAATAAACTTGACTGAATCATGTTTTCTAAGGTGTTATGCTACACTACTAAGATAGTCACCTGTGTTTAGAGTGACTGATCTGAGCTGCTTGTCCTCAATAAAAACACCTGTTTTCTGCAGCATACATCCCATCTTTGTTTCCTTATCAAAACTGTAGGTCAGAACACAGCTTTTTGTAATCAGTTCATCATTTGACAGCCGATATCCCTGTAGTTTAGATGGATAAGGCAAGGCGAAGATGTGGGAGTGTGATGGCACGAAATAACACCAGAATGTGCACACAAAGTGATTAATGCCGGACAGGCATAGAACTGCCACGTTCATATACTGATCTTATTTCCTCTCTTCTTCCTGGTTAGACAGGTGCAGTGGCTAATCATGCTGCCCATGTGTGGGCGAGTAGAAGTAAGCTGGGACTGCATCTCTCTCTGTTGACACCTCCGCAGATTCAGCGTGAAGCTGAGAGAGAGAGAGCAACTCAGACATGCAGACTGCACAAACGGAAAGATGAGGACAGAGGGAGTTAGAGAGAAAGGAGCGAAAGAGGCTGATATATTTGACCGTGTGGGTGTGTGAAGTCTCGAGGCATGCATCATAATCCTGGCTTCTTTTTCTCAGAGCAGCTGGACAAGGCACTACATTAGCAAGCCATTGGTGGTCTTTCATAAGGTGCTGCCTCATACTTTTGAGCAATCAGAGTTGAGAGGAAAGACAGCGAGAACATGGAAACTGCTTTGTTCTTGCTGCCTTGAGGACTTCGTTAAGGAAAAATTCTGAAAATATGATTTAAGTCATGTCCAGAAATGTTACATGGGAGATGTTGAAACATCTACATTATAAGTAACCAAGAAATCAAGTCAGGAATTCATCTGAGGTGAGTTTTACTGTTTTGTATAAAATTTTGTTGCCTTCATTTTATACAAACATCCACCTTTAAAGCTTTCAGAAACCATATAGCGTGTGTGGGGGGGTTGCAATTGTTCTGTATGCATTCATGTGTTTATGTTAGGCATGTCGGGACGTGTATGAATGTGTGGGGGGAGAATGTTTTGTTGTTCTGTGCTTTTGGGTACTGAACTCAACCCCTGAAAAGCAGTGGCAATGTAGCCTGCCCACGCTGTTTCCCATTTCCATGGAAACTATTGCTCAGTGCTAAAAGCAGTTCTATTCTATGCAGTGTGTGTTTGTGTGTCTAAGAGAAAGTATGTCTCTCACAGATGAAAAACATCACACAACAGGCTTATTGACTCAGTACATAATTAGCTGTTTTTACCATTTTTGTCATATCATGAGGATCCATGAGCAACTGATGTACTTATGTTCATCAACATCATGCCATAAAGACCTGTATGGATTAGACACCTTTTTGCATACCTAACTGTACCTGTGCCTCTCTTTGCCTGTCTTTCCTGTTTGTCACCAAGATGGCTGTCAGCCCTATTGCCATCTTCCTCCTGACTTTGATCAGTTGCGGCTCATCCCAGCCTACTCCTCCTCCTCCCCGGGGATGCAGCGTGGGCATAGAACCCACCTACAGAGTGCTCTGCGACCTGGAGGCGGTCTGGGGTGTCGTACTGGAGGCAGTGGCCTGCTGTGGTGGCCTCGCTTCTTTGGTTCTTGCAGTGCTAATGATCGTCAAGATGCGTGTGGTTTCTGACCCAGCCCGAAGGTCTGGTCTTGGTCCTCTGCTCCTGCTCTTGGGGACTCTTCTGGGAATCTTCACTATCTCTTTGGCTTTCCTGGTGGGGAAGACCCAGGTCCTCTGTGTGGTTCGCAGGGCCTTCTGGGGACCCCTCTTTGCTCTCTGCTTCTCCTGTTTACTCGTGCAAGGAGTGAGGCTCAGGAGGCTGGTGGCTGGAAAATCAAGTCCATCTGGGAGCACACTGGCAGCGCTTGGACTGGCATTGGCTTTAGTTCAGGGGATTATCTCTGCTGAATGGGTTCTGTTGACTGTGGTCAGAGAGGGTCACCCAGCATGTGAGTACCCTCCTTTAGACTTTGCTCTGATGTGTAGTTACACTCTAGGCCTGCTCCTAATTGCCATGGGCCTCTCTCTCGGAGTGGTGCTGTGTGGAGGAGAATTTGGAGAAGATGGAGGAGACAGCAGAGAAGAAGACAGAGAAGGAGAACACGAAAAGCGAAGATGGAAATGTAATGCCGTCTGGGTCTTTCTGTCCAGTCTGGCTTCCGCATTGCTTTGGGTGGCCTGGCTGGGGTTTTATCTTTATGGCAGCCAGGTGCTGAGGGGAAAAGGGAGCAGGGAAAGAGGAGGAAACAAAGATTCAAAAGTATTGGATGAGCCTGCATTGGCTGTCGCCTTGGTGATTCAGGGCTGGATCCTGCTGCTGTTCCACGCTATTCCAGAGGCCCACCTGTGTCTCCAGAGCCCAACACAATCTGACACACAAGATTTTTTTGACACTAGTCGTGCATCGCCTGCTCCTCATTACGGAGAAGAACACCCTACGCATTCTCACCAGTCCTTTCAAGAAAACCAAGCCTTTTCAATGGAAGAGCACAGCGCAAGTAAGTCTTGTATGTGCTCCTTGCTTTACGTGCTTCTTTTTATATGTGAAACTATATATTTTCCAACAGTAACTGCTTCAGTGGCTAACACTCCTAGTTCTGAAGGACGTAATTTCATATTTGTTTCCACCTATCTACGTAAATGAATGAACCAATGACTGGCTTGCGCACAGCCTGGTAGCACCCAGTTGAATAACAAATTTTAATTTCTGTCAAATTTCCAATCCAGAGTCTATTCAATTAGTGTTATTGAGAGAATATTAAAACCATAAATTATTTTTGATTAAAAAAAGACCAATGATATTCAAAAGACATTTTTTGTGGATAAAATATTAATTTTCAGGGTAAAAAGGATTTGTATGATCATTCAAATTTTGCAGAAGTTGCATGACTTGACAGTTCAAGCTAGACTCCCTATGCTGTATTTGAAAAGACATTTTAAATCCATCTATCTATTGCGGTAACTGCTTATTCTTGCAGAGTCGCTCTGATGGGGGGAAGGGGTGCAAGGATAAGTATATGGTGTATTAAACCAAAAGTCCGATTACATCTCATGAAATGTATGAATATCTACCAGCAATATGGAGGTAAAAATATGAGTCATTCCACTTCTACTGCTCACTGCAGTTTTCTGAATGCAGCTTACCAGATTAGTTGATCTGTTATAATTAAAAAATAAAGGTAAGCATTGAAAAAAATTTAAGGTGGTGGTATACAGTGTACACTGTACAGTTAATATTGATTAGTCACAGTAAGAAGGTACAATCAAGCATACAATGCCCATGTCACATTTTAGAGTAAGGAAATGTTTTTGTTAATTACCAACAACAACAAAAAAATCTAGCCAAAACTTGATGTCAGAAGATTTATGGTCGTTTTAGTATTTAGGATTTACTTTACACGCTTTGACCCATTTATTTTTTTGATGATTTTGGAGAGATTTAACATATAACACTGTTTTTGTAATTAATGAATGCACTTTGTAATTTTTTAATAATTCAATCTGACTTGCAAAACACAAAAACTTATTGTCAAACCTATCACCATTACCTTTTTCTACTTCCTCCCACATTTTTGATTAACCTTAAAGCAAAACAAACAAAACAATAAAGGTATGTAAAAAAATATTTTTCTAATCATGAATGTTTTAACTTAGTGAAAACAGATCCCTGACTCAACAGTGGCCGCTCAACGCCGCTGAAAACACTTCCTTTTGTTACAATAATTACACAAAATATCTGTGTTGCCCTGGTAACCACTGTAGCTGTAGGCTTTGTCAAATAACAGTGAGCAGTCGTTTCAGGCACACAGGGAATTAATATCACAGAAAAATAACAAGACTTTAGCAAGGCTCCACATCACCTACCTCAAAACAGATTCAGCGGTTAACGTTGTTTCCTCCTGTTATCTCTTTTCGCTTGTATAGCATTTAAATGCCGTAGCATTTCTGATGAAGCTGTTCTTATGCACAGTTCTGAAATGCTTCTCAGTGAGTCAGAAGCAGAGTCTGAAATAGTGGTCATGGGCCCTGCATGCCATCCAACAGGCAGTCATACTAAGATGCATTCTGCTTTTATCTGTTAAATTTAAATGTAACGTGTCTTTTAAAAAAGCAAATATAAAGGAAAAATGTCCAGTGAAGCTGTTGTCTTAAATGACAAACAGAAAAACATATAGGTCATAGATGAGAGCTGGATGCTTACATTAACACAGCTATAATTATATTATTATAATTTCAATTTGTCAAATTAATTAAATAATTATATTTCTTGCTATTATGGTGATGGTAGTCATTTTTGCTTGGAAAAAGCTGTAGGTACTTTATAGGGATATCTGAAAAAACAATGCAAAGGTGAGTCTCTCCTGTTGTTAGTTTTGTTATAATAAATATAACATTTCACATGCAAGGTCAAAGGTGCAAAAAAAAAAAAAAAACGTTTTTAGCAAGACCAGATGCTAATAAAATAAGATGGCTTTCAACATGAACCAAGGACCTTAAGTGGCTCACTTACCTTTGAAAAAGGATTGTGGTTAAATTATATACTGTTGGTCTGTGTGGTCTTCCTGTGGCAAGGGGTCAACATTTCATTACTAAACTAAAAAATGTGAAAATCCATGTTGCATGGTTTTTCATTTCTTTCATTTTGTTTTGTTTTATTTTTCCTACACATAGAAAAACTAAGAGAAACATTAGGCATTTTGCAAAAAAATACCTTTGTTAGTTAAGATTTTTCTACTGACTTTCACAACCTATCAGGGTTTTTTTATGTGTGTGTGTGTGTGTGTGTGTGTGGGGGGGGGGGTGTGTGTGTGTGTGTGTGGGGGGGGGTTTACAGTTTTGATGATATCCAATAAAAATTACTTCTTACATGTGTTATATTTTGTATGTTTTGGTCATGTAGTGCTTAGCTGGGATTTAGTGTTAGTAAAGGAGTAAAGTTGTCACCAGGAACAATAAGTCTTTCTTTGCCTGATTCCATCATTGTTATTCAGATTAAAGCTTTCTCATTTCTATAAATATATAGGTTTTATTATTGTTATAGAAGTTGGGATTTTTTTTATTTTTTATTCAACCTTGTTTGTCTTTTGAAGCGAGGAGGTGGATTGTTTGTACCATTTCTGCCCAGTTTGGACAATGGTGGTAAAATTTATATGCGTGCATATTCCCACTGGTTGTATATGTTTGATTTTGTGAGGTCTTGAAGTTCTGGGGGCCTTCACTCACCACTGACTTCTGTATACCCATGTTGGATGGATTACTATATCCATCCACAGACTCTGTCACTAGTATTATTTTCTTTACAAAGCAATCTCAATCTGATTTATTTCTCTCTGAAGTCCTGTCCATTTTTAAGAGAAAATATTCAAGCAGTTACTCTCTGTATCAAAATTAGTCAATTTCACTAATTGTAAATAAGGTTGCACTGATCATGGTAAAAGAGCCTTCTAGTTTGCAGCCCCCCTCGGAATCATACCCTTTGAATCAACTGCAGAAGAAGCTGAAGGACTGATCTCTGTTAATGTATTTAAGGCCTTTTTGAACCAATTTATAAATAATTAATGTTTTACATTATTTTATTTAATTTTTTTATTTTATAACCAAGATTGTATCTTGAGCGTTTTTTGATGTCAGCGGTATGTGTTTGCATCCAGGTCTCTCTTGAAAAACTGAATTTTAATCTCAACAACCTCTAATACAAACAAACATACATACAAACAAACAAATATACAACCATTTTATCAAATGTATGTTTTCTCTTAATAAAATAAAATAACTTGACAAATATATTGACATTATAAATTCAGGATTAGGACCAATCCTACAGCGGAATAAATCAAGCTTTGAGTTTTTAACCATTAGTTCTTAAAAGTATTTAAATCATGTCTTGAATGAGAGTAGAACCCAAGCATGCATGGGGAGAACATGACAACTCCATGCAGATAGACCCTGGGCCTCAAACAGAGAACCTTCTTTCTGCAAGGAACCATCATGTAGTCCACAGGCAGTTCATTGAAATTAAATTCTATTAAATGAAATAATTTCTTTATAAAGTATCATGCCATCTTCTATTTTTTAAAGAGAATTAGATAACTAAATAGTCTCTAGAAAGTGACTTGAGATTACCGGTACATTGAATTTCAATTAATTTTGAAAGACAGATTTAAGTATTTTATCTAGGGAAAACCCAGCCTACTGCATCGAGTAATTGATTGCAGGAATCAATCCTCCTGGATAAGTATGCGGTTGTTCATTAAATCTGCAGTTATCGGTCACACTGAGCATCCGTGCAGCTGCAATGGAGAGAAAAAAACTCCCATTTAACAGGAAGAAACCTCCAGCAGAACCAGGGTGAGGCCGACGGGATGTTCAAAAAGTCAGCGGCAAAAACACAAAAGAACCATTGAAGCACTGATCCATAAATACTTTCTATTTTAAAAAAGGTAACAGTAAACCGGTTCAGTCAGAGAAGATACGACATTAGCGCTGCAATTTTAACCTTTTTTTTGTGTCACTAATTGCCAAAATTAAATTTTTTCACCCTAAAACTTCATTAAAACTTTCTTAAAATACTTTCCTAGAAAGATAATCAAACTTGCTGTTATGTTTAGTAAGAAACAGGAATGGGAATATTGTTCATCCCTATAGTGTTTGCCTAAAGCAACTCCCTCCCTTAGGGAGTTGGTCATGTAGGTCAAGTTCCTCATGTGAGGCTGATTGAGAAGAGAAAAATGCATCAAGTTTTAATTTAATTAAGGTCCTTAAGAACCAGTGTCCAGTGACTTCCAAAACTGAGCTGAGTTAAGAGGATGATTACCTCCTTGACTTGTCAACGCCATTTACCCGCATGTTCAAATCAAGTTTATTCAAGCACAGTAGTACATGTGGGTCCCCAGCTGGGTTGTATTTTAGGGGACTAAGAAAAATGATTTGCATTCTGTTGCACTTGTAAAATTTTTCTCTGTTTTGTCTTAATTGTTTTAAAGCTGTCCGAAGTGGAACATACCACAGCAGCCATGGCAGCATGCGCCCAGGCATCGCCTTCAGGGGCCATGTTTACCAACCAACTGAGATGGCTTTGGTCATGAACGGTGGGACGGTAAGTGTTGACAGACACAAGTGATTGATATCAAAAGATCGGCAAATATGTATCTGCTATTCCTGAATGTTCCTTTATCTGTTGTAGATGCCTACAGCACCCATTAACTACACTGGAAGACGTCTATGGTAGAACAGAGGAGGACTTACATGGGTTACAATTTCTGATGCTGAAGTGTTTCCCCGTTTCCTAAAAAGAAAATGTAGAAGTGTTTTATGTGTTTGTGCTATTGCCAATGTTTTCAAATGATGTTTTTGAAACAAGTAGAATTAACTGTTTTGTCATAGAATTTGGCAGAAGGACAAATCATTAAGAGCAGGAAAAGAGAAAAGACAATAGTTAAATTAGAAGTACGTAAACATGAAAAACCCTATTTTTGAATGAGAACTAGAGGACATGTTGCAGTTTAGCATGTCAATAAAAGCAAAATTTTAATGTGGTGAAGTAAACCTCTTTAAGCAGCTCGATACCAGTTTCCTAACAACTGGTTTCTGTGAAAAAAGAACGCTTACTTCGATGAACTGCACTTTTGGTTAACTCAGCCTTGAGGACGTTGATGTGAATTACCAGCAGAGGCCTACAAAGCTTGTTTGCTGTATTTCATTGTTCTTATAGTGACTTTCTCGCTATGCTGGGACACTTTGGCACATTTCTATGATACAACACTTGAATTATCACATTCTTTTATGAAGTAAAGAGATGCCCCATCTCAGTAATGGTATTGAAGTCCTTTGCTATTAAGAAGCATATAGTAAAAGCCATTTTATACTGCAATACTTACTGTAACGTGCACAGACAATGATCAGTACAAAGATCCTGGTGGGAATGTGAGATTGAAGATTGTTTCAGTCGCATGTAAAGCACAACTATGGGGGATCAGTATTTTATCTCAATGTTTTGAATTTATGGATCCTTTTTGTTATTTTATATATGAAATAAAATTGTATGTACTGTATGTATAGCAAAAGGAAGTACTAATCACAGTTTTGAGGAAAATGGACGATTCTTCATCATAGAAAAAGGATCATACAAATCAGTCTTGTACATGTAAAAACAACGCAAACTGAAGGCTGCCTTAGAAAGAAAAAAACGACTGAGTACATTTTTATGACTTCAGAGTATCTGCTGTAATAAACCGACTGCAGTCTGTGGACCGTACAGTCAACCAGCTAAATTATTTTCCTATCTTATTAATAGATTCTAAAGAGTATGCTAATCAGTTTTAAAAGAAGGTTTGGAAGGTTTGTTGTCTGATATTTTCCTGATAATAAAAAAACTATGCTTGTCTTTCCTCCCCTTGATGCCAGAATGTCACAGAACATAACAATTCCTAATACTGCTGATCCATCTACTGCATTCTCCTTTTTTCCTGATATTGTACTGACGTATCTATTCACAGTTCTTTATTTTACTGTTTTTACAAGTTACACCAGACAGATATAAGGAATCGTGCACAAGAATCTTAACAGATGCATCTCTATGAATTTTTTTGAAAAATGTATTGTTACAGGTTATGACTTACAGATAATAAAAAACTAAGATCCAGTTTATCAAAGAAAAAGTTTAAATGATGAATAAGGCCAGTAAAGGAATTTCAATACAAATTCCAGCCCACTGAAAGGTGAGTCCATGTAACCTGCTGTAAAGTTTCCTGGCTGATGTCTGTGTCGACTGGACTAACACCAGCAGATGGCATGGTAACTCAAATATTCACTGCCTGTTGAAGTTTGGCCCCTAGTAATCGTCCAACAGACTATACTTCTAGTAGACATTGGCACCTGGATTGTAAATGAAAAACACAAGTTCAGAACTATTCTCCTTAACGCTGGTAAGACGTCAGGCGTGGCTTAACAGGATGACCCCTGAAACCCCGCCCATCAGCCCCTGTTTTCCATTGGCATTAACTCTTGTAGCTTCAGTTTAGTACATGATACTTGTGCTTTGATAACTTATCCATTCAGGTTGGGACAATTCGAGTCAGTTCGCTGCAGATTGCTTCATTTTCCATTACAATTAGGCATTGTAATGGAAAATGAGTGGGGGAGGGATCTTCAATAGAAATACAGCTCTGCAGTCCAATATAATATTGGGACACCACCCCCTAACCAATCTTCTGACGGTGCATTTACAGTGCAACTTTGGACAGTTGGAGAGGTGAACAGGCACTAAAGATAATAACAGATCTATGTAACAGTTACTTATGAAAAAGCTGAGAAAGTGAATTGCTCTGAGTTGGTACTACAGGAAAAGGGACATTTTTGGTCCCCCCAATGTAATCGCTACTTTATTTAATGACTGCTTCCTTGTGGTTCCAAGTGCAGCAAGTTAACCTGAAAACATCACATCAGTAAGCAGCCTGTCTCCAATTGACTAACTGACTATGGGGTCACTGCTTGCCTAACAAGAACAACTCCAGAACTAGAATCAGACACATTATATTGAAAAAAAAACACACACACACACAGCAACCACGCAGACTACAGAGATTCGGACTGAATGAAGTTGGAAGCCCCATAATAAGTACTGTAGTCCAACACAGAGGTGCACACATTGCTGGGATTTGTAGTGTAAGAGGAAATTCAAACGAAACTTTGCAGAGGTCCAACACTGGATGTACACATTAACTTACCATTACATTTAGGAGAGCAATAATCTTCTTTTCCTTCATCCAATTATGCACCACGGCTCCTTAGATTTCCCTCTACACTTTCTTTGATTGTCACGTTATTTCTATAAGACTCGTCTTGGTCATGTCCATTGACTCTAACTCCCTTTCTATTCTCTCTAGTCTTTTTATTCACTGTCAACATTTCTTGCCAGTGGACCAACCTAGCCATGTTTCCATATCCTCGATTGCTATGTTTGCATGTGTCTCATAGACATTTTGTCACATGAACTTTCTCTGTGCTGCCTTGCTGTTAACAACATGGCCGCATTTGCTGCACTTCTGTAAAAGAAAGCCACCCATACCAAACTAAACAACACAACCCCAAACAAAACAAACCAAAGTGGCAATTTGGAAAAGGCTCATAAGACAAGGGTCTTTAACCTGATTCTGTCTGTGGACCAGCTTTGCTTTTGTTTTTACTTCTTCAGCTTTAGCATTTTATTTCCACATTATTTCCAGTCACTTAACTTCATCATATGCTTGAATACAGTCATATGGGAACAGCTGGCTTCTCGCATCGCTAACTTGTGTATAAGTCACCTTAAATGTACATAACTCTCTGCCTCATGTCTTTTTTTTTTTCCGATCCACTGTATATATGAGGATGCACTGTATATACCCCTGCACATTTTTCTCCTTTTGGCACCTTCTTTTGACTATTGAGCTGATGTGACAGGTGAATTTCTCCACTGTGAGATCAATAAACTCTATCTTACTTTCCTCGTGAAAAGTGTCAGGAACTGTCTGTTGGACAACTGTATTCAGGCCATAAAAATCCCTTAGTTTTCCTTCTTTTTCTTTCTTTTCTATTGTTGGAAAATACAAAGAAAATATTTGATCATATAAAACTGATCATATAAAAATTCACTGCAAACTATCTAAATATGTTATGTCTTACTGCTTTGATATCGCTGGCTAGACATGATGTTTAAACTTAAGAACACCATATTGTGTACATCTGGGTAAAGTTTTGCAGTTTCAGCTCTTGAGGAAATTCAAGCTGAGGAAGTATTTCCAGTTAATGCATTGTGTATATGACTGTGACTGGTCAGTTTTGCTGTTACCCAAATTTAAATAGGTTTATTTGTCAATGGCTTTGTTTTTGTGAGTGTTTTTACATATTACAATTAAATATGGGTTTAACATGTAAAACTAGGTCTACCTGCTTTTTAACTTGTACTGTAAAGAAACAATGCTTTTAGCAGGAGTTTATAAGAACAATTCTGTCACTGTTTCCTGGCAGCATTAAAATGAATGTTTGTTATGTGATTTGCACTAAATGGCTATTACATCCTTTGCACAGTTTATCGTTTGGTTTTACTTCTTCTCAATGATCTGGTTTTTCTAATTGTTCTACTAATTTAGGCTGATAAGGCACACACATTTTTATTCCTAAAATAAAATGAGTGTGCCCCATCTGGCTAAAGTAGTGGAACCATTTGACATAGATTTTGGAGTCAGTGGGTCACATGACCTGGAAGCTATTGAAGAAATGTCAAATGTTTTTTTTTAGTATAAAAATTACTTTTGTAATAAAAATTTTGTTTCATGTACAAAGGCTTAAAATGGAATAAAAATGAGTGTATCTTATCAGTCTAATGTAGTGAAAGAATTTCACGAAGAATTTGAGTTGGTGGGTCACATGACCTGGAAGCTATTGAAGAAATATCACTTTTTTTTTTAGTATAAAAAATCTTTAAAAATGAACAATCGCTTAAAATGGAATAAAAATGGGTGTGCCTCCTTAGGCTAATGTAGTAGAACAATTTCAAAAAGAATTTGAGCCGGTGGATCAAATGACCTGGAAGTAATTGAAGAAAAGTCCCAACTTTTGTCTTTAAAAATTCTAAATAGCTTAAAATTGCATAAAACCAAGTGTGCCTTATGTAATTTATCTTTTCGCATGATTTTATATTAGTTTTGTCTTAGCTGGTCATAAGATAAGGACTTTATTGATTTTTGTTTCTCAAGAGTGCTTGGTTCAAAATTTTGTAGACAGTCCCTAAATGCACCACCACGTGTGGGAGGAGGGAGCAGAGTTTGAATATCCAATAACCAACTTCAAACCAACTTCATCATGGTTGTCCGATCTTAGATCAACATGGTCACTATTTCTAAGATACGACGTCATCAACTAGTCAGAAAGCTACCGACAAGACATTATCCGATCACCTGAATAATCTAAGACCAATCACTCTTCTCAATACAGATTATAAAATATTTACTAAAGTTCTTGCAGCTAGATTAAAAGTGGGTATATCAGATATAATTAGTTCTACTCAATCTGTTTTTTAAAAGGTAGAACAATCCATAACAATATTTGTCTAGTTCTGGATCTAATTGAATATGCCCATTTGATTGATGATGATGATGGTTTTATTCTGTTTTTATTCTTGAAACATTTAAACATTTTGGCTTTGGTGAAAAGTTTTTGGATATTATCAAGATGTTGTATACAGACATAAATAGTTGTGTTTCCTTAAGTGAAGGGACATGTCCAAGAATGACCATAAAAAGAGGGATTAGGCCAGGATGTAGTGTGTCACCTCTCCTGTTCATCCAAGGCTTGCAAATTAGAGATCAGACAATCATCATAAGTCAACCAGCAGATGACACCACTCTGTTTTAAAAAATGAAAATCAAATCCCTCTGGCCAACCAAACAGTAAATGTATTTTCCAAAGCTTCAGGTTTGAATTTCAGTTTAGAAAAATGTGAATTAATGAGCATCAATGAATGTTGACATTCATCATTGTACAACATAAAGGTCAAACTGGAGGTCAAATACCTGGGAATTTGGGTAACAAAGACTGAAAGTTGTAAAGTCAAATTAAACATTGAACATAATTTAAACAAATGTAAACAGATACTTAAAAACTGGTTGCAGAGAGACCTAACTCTTTTTGGTAGAGCCCTATTAACCAAAATGGAGACTTTATCGAGATTTATTTACCCCGCATACTCATAATCCATACCACAAAAAATTATCAAGGAAATTAATAAATTAAACTTTAACTTCAACTGGAGAAACAAACATCACTACATCAAGAAAGGCAATGCAGTTAAAGATTAAGAAGATGGAGGTATTAAAGATAGATAGACATAGATTTTGAAATAATGAATGGTGTTCTAAAGGTAAAGTGGCTACAATCTTTTCTTAGAAGTAGTCATGAGATCTGGTTTGCTGTCCCCTCTCTGGTGTTTAGTAAAATTGGTGATACTGAGTTCCTGTTGAGATGTGATGTTGAGATTCATAAATTACCTGTAAAGCATTCTGCGTTGCACCAGCAAGTGCTGTAAAATTTGAAATTGGCATTCAAACATAACTTTAGTCCCCATAAGGTTCCTTTGTGGAATAACAGTTATTTTATACCAGACAAAAGTCTGTGTTTATGGAAAACTGGATGGAGAAGGGAATCTGGTCAATTAGTCATTTATTGAAAAATAATGGCAATACGTATGCATATGAAGATTTAATTCATAAGTATAATCTAATCTGTACAAAAAATGATTATGAAAAAATTATGAAAATAATACCAAATGTATTTATTCGGCTCATAAAAAACAATTATGATACAAAGCAAGTGATTAAATTACAGAATATTGTAAAAAATGGTTTAGATTTACTAGACAAAAAATGCAATAATAACTTTTTAAGAAAACATTTAGCAAAACAGACATACCCTGGACTGGTTAGAATGAAATTTATGGATAATTATGAAAAGAAAGACCAAATAAATTTAATGTCAAAGTTTTTTTTAAATTTGAGCTCCCACCAAAATATAAAGAAATACATTTCAAAACTCTACATGATATTTACCCCTCAAATGAGCTGATCAGAAATAGATTTAAAACTGAATGTGGTAACTGCTATATATGTAACAAAAGTGAAACAACAGAACACTTTTTCTTTCTCTGTCAACCAGTCAAAAAATTGTGGGATTCTTTGCACACTCTAATGACTAGTAAACATAGCCCCCTCATTACAAACTGTCTTATATAATTTTTTTTCTCTGAAAACAAAAGAGATGAATATCTTATTAATAGCAATATCATCAC